CGACCCTAGAGGGCAGAGTAGAACTGCCCTGTGCGTTTCCAAGAAGAGTAGAAAGCCCCATCTTTCTCTCACGGAGCAGCCGACCCGTAACCACTATGTCACCTTTCTAGTTCCACACCATGTTAATCACGTTACCGGGTGCAGGGACCCCGTGGTCAAGTCGTTTTAGCATAAGACTGAGGACGCCCATCTTAGGAGCTCTGCTGTAATCGCAGAACCATCCTAAAGCGGAATGGGTGGCCTTGGGAGGTGGTAGCCCCCTGTCCGTGGAGGTGTGGGAGGGGGACATGGAAGCCCGAGAGTCTATGCTGAATTGAGATTTGGAGGAGAGAGGTGTGAAGTATTTCCAGCCCGGACCAAGAGTGCCATGCTTCTTTCTAGATTGCCTGGCTGATGCAGGTCACCATGGGCACCACGGCCACCGAGACCCTCAGTGTGGCTGGGAACATCTTTGTGAGCCAGGTGGGTACTGCCGTCTCCTCCTTTCGTGCTCATGAGCTGCCCTGGGGAGAGCGGAGTGAGTGCCCTGGGTTCCGGGGGCTTGGATTCAGTCAAGAGTGAGTTGTCTGAGCCTTCTCCCAGGGTTGGCATGTATGCTCTGGGGCCGACCGTGCTTGGTTGCACCAGGTCGACAGCATCTGCCTGGCATCTCCTGTCGTGCTTGGCATCATCTCTGTCTTCATCAGCTTGGGGACTCCAGCTTGCTCATTTCAAATGTGAGGAAATGGAGGCGCATGGAATGGGAACAACTTGGCCAAGAGTCTCTCATTGTAAGCCAAGATGTAGAGTCCTTGTCTTCTTTCTGCCGGCCAGGGTTTGTTCTTGGACATCGTTTTGTCTTCTCTCTCTCATCCCTCATCTCTTTCTAGAATTGCATTCTCCACAGGAAGTGGGACTCTGAAGAGGGCCAGAGTCCCTGCCTGGAGTCCCATCCCTCCCGAGCGAGAGCCTCGAGACGGTCCTAGGCTCTCTCCTGACCCACGGGAGCCACCAAGAGACCCATCTGTCAGCAGATGTCGCATTTGATTAGGCAATTTTCAGACACTTTGAAGAATATGTGCTTTTAAAAAAATCAACAGTGCAAAGTGTGTTGGTTGTTGAGTGTTTCAATGTGTGTGTGTGTGTGTGTGTGCACTTCAGTCAACTAAGACAAACATACAGATTGTTTTTAAAAATCCCTCAAAGTGAGGGAAAGGATACCAGAAATACAAAAGCCTTTATCTTATAGGAAATAGATGTGCTTTTTTTTTTCATTTTTGCCAAGAAAACGCTCCATAGAAGGTGGCTGTGCTGCTGAGCGACATGGAGAGCTAGCTCACAAGGGTTGGACGTGTTATTGGTCAAGTTGGCCAAGGCCCTTGGTCTCTGCCTCAGCTCCCCGTG